CTGCAAAGACTCAACGTCAGCCAAGGCGAGTGAGAAAAGGAAGGGTGCGCCGCTCTACATTGTGTACAATTGCGCGTGTGAGTTCTGCATTGGCAATACCACAACTATATCAACAACACGCTCGGTGAGGTGAGCATCTACAACATATCATCAATACCAAACCCTCACGCACATAGCAACACTCGGCCTACCAATGCAACGCAACCTTCTGCCACGGTCGAGTCGGAGCTCGCTAAGCTGCGGGTCTACTGGGTTTCACGAACTACAGTTCCGACTGAACGGGGAGGCGTGTCGCCGCCAGCAAGAGATCAAGGACCCCGCGCCACCAAACACCAAACATGCCACCCTCTTTTCCTTCTTGCCGAGGAAACGAGGCATGCATGACGTTTGCCGCTTGTCTGTCCAGCCCTTTTGACGGGGCTCTCCTGCCTATGGATGCAACCTTTGCGTGCCGTGCCATCTGTGCTTTGGGCTCGATCCAAAGAAGGGGCCTCCAATTGCCATTGCACATTCTGCAGCCTTGGAACGAGGCCTTCTTTCCGTCCAAGCCTCCAGATGTTGCCAGGGGGTTGCCGGGGGGTTGCCGGGGTGCGCAGGCCCGCCATGCTCGCACTCCTAGCGCACTTGCTAGCTCCTGCTGGGTTCTGTTGAAAACCCTGGCATCTTTAGAGAGATCGATCCGCCCGACAGCGGAATAGGTGAACGCGCAATTGAGTTGGGAGCACTCTAGCCCAGCATGCCGTTCGCAAATGGAACTGATTAGGGATCGCGGTGGGTCCTTTCGGGCGTGACCAACTTGACGCCCGGCGGGGAGGAGTGGATACGTGCTTGCCTAGTCCAGCAAAGCGCGTGCAATCGATGATGGCAAGTTCAGCAAGCGTAACCAAGCCTGCGTGGCTGCAGAAAAGCTTCACGTTTTTCCGGATTTTGTGGTCTGCGCTAGCAAGACGTGCGCACAGCAGGGTTCCTGTCCTTCTGATTGTGCCAGTCGACAGGTAGCCTGCGACACGAACTATTCGCGGCAACCTGGACGGTGTATGCCATGATTCTGCAGTAGGACTGTTTCTGGATCCAGCCAAGCAGAGCCCTATGGCATCCCGGCGTCATATTCCTGGACCTGTGCGGATTTTCTTCAGGATGCCACCATGAAGGTGAAAGTGAAAGTTGGTCTCCGAGAAGCTTTGTGCGAGGACAAGTCAGTCTTCTGGGGAAAGGCGTTTTCCCGCTGGCGGCTTTGCAGTGCTTCGCAGTGTGGGACGGGTCGCGTCGCGTTGATGTTTTGCGAGAAGCAGTCAACACCCATGCCTCGCCTGGTCGGACTTGCGGAATCTCCCACTTGGATTTTGTACTTACGCGCGGCCCATCTGTGTCCACTGTCTACAGGACCGCAGATCTCGAAGTGAGTAAATAAGAGACGTATGGTTGCTGATGGTCAAGGGATGCTTATGTCTTTAGAAATGAGGTCTATTTCGGGTAGCGCTTATGACGATCTTTCAAGGCCATGTGCACCCGAAAGGAACCCCCAAACACGAACTTCCACATGCAATTTGTTAAGAATTGCTCGGTCGGTTTGAGTCCAACGAGCATGGAGAATATCCAACAGCAACCAAGATGTTCAAACAGGCGCAACAATCGTGAACTCGCGAAATCGTGCAAAGCAGCCTGATCAGTTACCCTCCGCGGCTGTTCGCTTGAAGAGTAAAGCATAAAGTGACAGACACGGTGGAAAGCACCCGCAATAGCCCCTTCAGTGATGCAGCTGGTAGCAGCTTTCATTTAACTTAGGTATTGGAAACGGGAAATTGATGACGCTCATGTTCTTCCAGACAACCGGCCACAGAAGATTGATGGAGACCAACCAGCTCAGGTGGTCCGCAGCCTAATGTTCGAGATGTTGCCGCGCTCTTGCAGTGTTCGGCCTGTGACATCGACAGTTTGACATGGCAGGCTCTGCCCAAGGCAGATTCTGTGAGCTCCAGGTGGGAAACTGTGCGCTTCGTAGTACACTGCTGGCTGTCGCAATCATATTTGCCGCCCTTAGTGTTTCGTCACACTTTGCTGGGCGAGTCTGCGGTCGTGTTTGGGTGTGCGATGGTGTGCGTTCAGAAAGCATAACTTCAAGCCCAATCCCCAGTCCGCAGAAATCCGGGCCAAACTCGTATTCGTCCGATAGAAGAAGGAAAAAGGAAGGCCGGTTGAATGCTTCGGTTTGCATCATTCGAGCCTGCACCCCGGAAGATCTTGAGCATGATCCGGACGGTGTGGTCCAGCCCAACCTGGTCTTAGAGTTCTGAAGCCATGCAATGCCATGCAGTTTTTTGCCGCTGTCGCAGTTGGAACTCTGCCGGAACATGGGAGGAGAAGGCAAGCTTCGTGGTGCGGTGTCGAGACTTAGCCTGCCAGGCGACACTGCTTTTTCAGCGCCTGAGGACATGGGTGTGGCTGCCCGAACGGAGCTCGAGAAGGCAGTGTAGTAATCGCGGCTACGAGTGCGACGTTTCACCAAATTTCCCCGTTGTGCAGATTTTGGGGGACGAGAGCTTCTTCCTCCTCCAGCTAGATGACAAGAACAAGGTTGTTTATTTTGCAATGCCTCCCCCTGAATGTGTCGCGGCACCTCGCAGGTCCAGGCCACGAAGGTGACCGTGACGGGAGATTCATCGGCATATCACATTCGTGGAAGGCGTCCCCTGCCAACCCCTTCGTCGCACTGCATCCCAATATGTCAATGGATGCTCCTACTCTGTAGTCCGTCTTTGCTTCCGCCTCTAGCTCTACTTATAGCTTCTTTCCAGCCTTTGTGTTGCTGCCGTCCTTGATCTTCGAAGGGTACATAAGAAGTACTGAAAGGGCAGGGCCTAGCGCCGTTCTATAAAGTTGCAGATGCGAACACCGCGAAACGGCAGGCCGCGGCTTGGCTTCGAGTTCACCGTGCAGTCCTCAAGATCCCTTTTCAGGAGTTGCTAGCACCCTTTAAGTGTCAGGTGAAGCTGTCGTGGAAAGGCTTCTTCGAGGGGGAGGAGGTCGTCGGCGAACTAGAAGTGCAGGACTTGAGCCACGGCATGGAAGCACGGAACGCTCTCAGAACGAGGGGAACTGCGTGTTGCCAGGACCTGGACTCTAGTGATCTGGATGGTTTTGAGATCAGGTCAGCCCGATGCTTCCAAAAAGGAGTTTCCCTCATGTGTGGCTTTCTTGAAGAGGCCGAAGCCAAAGACAGGTGAAGCCTCCAAGCGTGCAGCTGCAGCGTTGAAAAGCGGCGCAAGGCCGAAGAATCCTAAATGTCGGAGGCTTTGGACATTCGTCGTGTCGCTGGATCAGAGCACAGGCCAGCCATCAAGAAGGCAGCAGAATTGTTGAGCCAGCGGCTGCTGGTGAGGCTCCGTGCCTATGTTCTCGCGTTCTCAGGACAGTACTGACGATGCAATCCGACTGTGCAGGTGACGAGTCGCGTATGTGACCCCTTGATCAGTTTGCACATGGCAGGACTACTTTCTAGTAGTCACAGAGACCAGCAGGTTAAACCAAGGAATTTGGCAAGCGGTAGTCAAAAAGCAATGAAGCTGTTCCAGCATGTGCACAGGGCAATCCTTCAAGTTTTGGCAGCATCACCCTTGAACCTGTTACGCATCCACTCGATGTGCTGCAGGGAGGCTCAAGCTGGACAGAATTTGTTCCCTGACCGATCTCACCTCTTCTTTGCCAAGATGATGTTCACTCCGCAGCAGCTTACTGGCGGGCCCAAATACCATCACAAGACACGCATCGGGAACTGGAGTGAGGCTGGCTTTTGACTCGTGTTGCAAGTCATCTGCACTGCTTTTCTGGTCGTCTTGAGGACTTGGAACTAGAGGAGATCAAATTGAAAGACTACTTGAAAAAGAAGGACTGCCAAAGATTGTCTTTTGCTTGCTTGCCAAAGGCATGCTCTTAAGACGCCTCCAGGAAACAGGCAGCCTCATTGTCACTGCTAAGCAGCTCGGAAGCATGGTTCCGCGTGCAGATTTTGGGGTTTCGAAAGCGCGCAAACGGCAATCTGTACCGGAGAAGCCTTTACTTGTCCTCAACAGCCCTCCATGGCCAACCGTTCGTTTGTGTCGACATGTCTTGCATCAGCAAGAGATGCCGGCTTTAGGCAGACATAGCGCAGGCATGTCATGTGCGTCGAAAATTCTGTGTAGCTGCAGTCAAGCTGAACAAAACATTCTAATTGTCGTAGATGCCACCGCCTGACAGTTCCTGGCCGGACCTCGCAAACTTGTGCTGGAACTTCGATCCGTTTCTGGCTTGTTTTTGGATGAGGCAGAGACAGTTGGAGTCTTCCCTTCACGCCGATGAGGCCCGTTGTGTTGCACAGGATTTTATGAGGAATTCTTCTTCGCTTACAACACAGCAGTAGTTGAAGAAGTTAGTCAGACACGCACGTCATTTGTGCACGTGCAAACATTGCAAGCTGGCAGTTGTCTTCATCGCCCGACGGATTCCTTCACTTCGGCATGAAAGTAATGCTGGTGAACCATCAGTCCAAGGGCGTTCTGCTGATGCCTAAGATTCATTTCAGCAAAGTGAATCTTTATGAGTTTGCATCTCGGGCACCCTTTGGAACGGGAAGTGCCGGTAGCCTGAGGAGCGCGAACCCGTACGATGTTGTCGCCAAGTCCTCCCCGGCCAGGGTCTTACTCAGACCCTCTCGGACCTTGCACCGATGCGCAATGAGATGCAATGAGCATATTGAGCACAGGCATATATGATCACCTCCAGCCCCGTCGGCAGCCCGTGCGTGCGAAATGTCTTCGTCATCGAACGTGCCGATCCGAAGGATGGCCTGGGATCCCAGGAGGTCTGTGTGAGTGAGGATCCTGTTGAGAAACTGCTCTCAGGCTTCGAGGATGACACAGTGCACTACGGTCAGAACATTCGCATCAAACTGTGCCCCTTCTCAGAGTCTGCAGCTCAGCTCTGTGAGTCGCAGCTATGTTCCACTGGGCGGCGGCATGCGGCGGCTCGGTGTTTCTGGCAGGATCAAAGCCGATGCTTACCTGCACAGCGAGATGGTCACCGGACTGGCAGCTGCAAAGTTCTCCAGGTTTGGGCGTTCCTTGTAAGGTTTTTGTGTCATCAGATTCTTTCTGGTCAGGCACCAGGAAGTGACAGCCCTGACTGCACCCAGTGGGGAGACGCTTTGGCAGGCCCTTACATATAGTCGTAGGACACCCTCGTGGGATCATGGGATGCGTGCTATTGTATTGTGAGGCTCTCTTTCCAGACACACAGGCGAGGTTTGAGATGGATGGCGAAGCAGTGCTCCGTCCAGAATTCCAGAGTCTTCTGGGGTGCAAGTCCTTTTTGTTTCTGTCCCTGCGAAGACAGGTACCAGCAGGAAGCCCGCTAGTCCTTCGTCATGTCCAAACAGGCGAGTTCGGGATCAGTGGATGGCCCCACGTATCGATTACCTGAATCATCTCGACAAGAGAGGCTCTTTTCTGGCTTCTGACGAGATCCCGTACCACAATTTGTTTGGCGTCGAATTTGAGGCCGGGTTGCTGCTTAGCACCGTTGTGGGCAGTTGTCCTCGCTGGCTGCACCTCCAGGTCCACTGCTTTCATTATTTTTCCCTGGGCAAGTCCCAGAACCTGGTTGGAGAAATGAAGGGCGAGATCACAGGGCAAGTCTCTCTTGTTACAGAGGGTCTTTGCACATCTCGCATCATATCGGTGCCTCCCGTTCCCGGCACATGAATATGACAGGGACTATGCCCTGCGAAAGCATGGCTTGCCCAATATTTGGAGCATGATTGCCGACAGCGGTGAGATGGCCATGGCCTGAGTTGGTTGCGAATCGAGCTGGTGCTTTGCTGTGTTGTAAGGAGGGAGACAAGACGGTGGCACCGGAACAACCCTGAGCAAAGAATCGCGAGCCTCAGCTGAATTATGGGGACATGCTGCGAATTCACCGAGCATCTTATTGTGCCAGTGTGCAACTGTGTTAACTGGAGGCTCTCGAATTCGGCAAGCTGAGTCGGAACAGCGAATTCAGATGTACCGACAGGCTAGGCCAGCCAGAAGTGGAGGGCCGAAGTCTTTGGCCCCCTACAGCAGCACAATGAGTACGTCTCACAGTCTCACAAGTAGCTGGACATCACAAGATCGCCTGTTTCCCGCAAAATCCACACAGGGTGTCCCTTCAGCCGTGCCCATGTTAAGATTTGATTTAAAGTTGATTCATCGACCGTGCCGGTCGGAGACCGCTGTTGAACTCGCTCTGGTACTGCTTTCAGCTTAGCATTGCTGAACAAGGGTCGGCTTCGGCTCAGCTTGACGTGTGCTGTAAAACACTAGCACATGCAGTTTCATGACTGCACCGGGTGTTCTTTTGCTGGTTCGGGCCCCAGTTCTTTGAACGGACATGGTGTGCACAGGGCATGGGAGTTGTAAGTTCACGAATAAGGTGGTGATCGCCGCCAGGCTCCGAGGCATCAACTCTTTGGATAATGGATACACGGCCGTTGATGCCAAGGCAAGGGCAGTAGGCAGGTGCGAAGCAAACGCATGCACGCCATGTGCTGGACAGTTGGAAGTAGGCACACGAGTCCGATTCCGAGGGACGGCTTTCTGCAGTTCGAGGGACTTTCAAAGAGAAGCGGCGGCTAAGCTGAGCCTAGATGGACAGCTACCACTAAGCTGAGCCTAGAGGGACAGCTACCACATGTGGCTGGCTGTTCCTTGCAAGAGCTCAGGAACACGCCAGCGCTGAACTTGCTACGCCCAATTCACTCTGTCCATTCTCCGGCTGGCTGCTCCATGCAGTCTAGCTTGGTGCATCGTCTCCGTAAGAGCAGGACGTGGACATGATGCGCCTGCAGTGCAGCAGAAGTCCCTTTTGAACACGTATTTTTGTGAAAGTCGCGAGCTCCTTGCGTGAGGAGAAACGCCAGTTTGGATAGCACGCCATTGAGCTTCATGCACGTGGGGCCACATCCCCATGCAGGTACGACAAAGCAGGCAGGCCTTCCTTAGCTGGACGGATGATGTTGCAAGACAGCCATGTGAAAAAGGCATTTCGACAGCTTCCAAACTCCCCGGAGCAAAACGGGACGAGTCCCAGCACCGGAAAAACTGGATGCGGGAGTTCTTCAACAGTCCAGCCACCATCACTCTTTCATTTTCAAAGTTGTATTATATGTGGCATGTATCTTCAATTAACCTTGTCGTGCTGCGGCCGGAGTTACTAGCTGCTTGATGCGTGGCCGGGTTATGATCAGCACAGCACCCTTATCACGTTGTCGTCTGCAGGCATGAGAACAGCCTGTCGGGGTGCACATGCAATCTGCCTTCCAGATGTGCTGAAAACATGCTTGGTGGAAACGACCGAACGAAGCGTGATCGTGGCGTTGGAATTGGAACGGCACGAGGCTGCTTTGAAGGCGATGATGTTTTGTCAGGCAACGCTTTGCAAACAGCCTCCGATGCCTGTTCCGGGTGTGTCCTCTCCCGGTGAGTGGCAGAATTCGGCTACAAAAGTTTCTTGTGTTGTGCAGGTTTGTCTGTATGCTCGACATATGGAGTCTGTGTATGTCTGTCTGCCAGATTTCGCTCGCTCTCTTTAACCTTGTGGAGCATCGCGATGAAACTGCAATCGATCTGAACGAGGACATCCCACAAGCGCCAGCTTTCAATACGCAACTCACGAGTACTGTACTGTTGAACCCAACTGCGTGCCTGCGGTTCTGGTTTACCTGAGAATTGGCCTTGACAGGACCAGGCTGGCTTCCTTCGACCTCTTCTTCCGGTCGTGGGTGCCTGGCGAGAGAAGTGTGTCGACTCAGATGGCAAGCTGCTACTATTGCTTCCAGGCAACTTTGTTGCAGACATACCGATCCCGTTGATGAAAGGCTGACAAATAATAACAATCATATTATCTTAAGCAGTTGACATGATGGCTGAGAGTTTCCAGCAGCGCCGGCAACATAGTCCAAGCAGTGTTCCCAGGTTCTCAGATTCGTAGCACGTCTTTGTGGGACGTGATGGCGGCAGAGTTTGCTGCGTTCTTGGCAAGGAAGGTGCTCAGGGTCCGCCCGGAGGACGTTGAAGTTTCTCGATCGGAAGAGTCGCAGCTGCGCTTGGCTTCGGGTTCCTTCGGGTCAACCAAGCGTTTTCATGTGGGATTGCACTTCCAGGTTCGCCATCAGCGAGCAAAAGTGGAGAGGGGGGTTTTTACGAGCTAAGCAGATCTTTCTACAATCAAAGGAGGCTGACGCGGCGGACGGCTTGCTGTTGCCGTTCCGATCTTTGATGCGGCGGGAGGCCAACGAGCAGACGAGCAGACGAGCAGATTCGTTGTGCTCTCTGGCTTTGTATGTCAGGCACCTTGCTACAGCGCCATGGCGGTTCTTCGAGGCGATGCCTTTTCCAAGGCTTGGAGCCAGCGTTTCCGCTGCGACATTCAGGTGCCGGGGGGGTAAAGTCGCAAAACGTTTGATTTCAAGATTCTGGGGGTCTGTGAAGTCAGGATGCGCGCTTGGTGCGCCACTTCGTGACTGGGACAGGAAGGCTTTGCGGCAGCGCTTTGTATTCCGATGTACCTGGCGACGACGGCATCGTCTTTTCGCAGGTCTGTTTCGATTTGTTGCGCTGACGTGGGCCTGCGTTTGAGGTGAATGTTTTTATGCAAAAGCATCAAGTGACGGCTGCCACTGACGACGAGAAAGCACAGGCCGATGAGTTTCAGCCAGGTAGAACACAGCATTTTTACATAGGACAGAGTCTGCTGAAGGTCTGCTACCGCGGACCGCAGTTGTCGAACGGCGTGGATTTGGCCCTTCGGCATTGTCGACTCCAGGGCAAAGAGGTGAACTTTCAGGCAATGCCAATGTCACATACTTGTAGCTGCCTGAAGCTTGACAAATGTCGCAGCTTGCTTGCTTCATTTCGGCAGGTACTATCCCGTTCTGCGACAGCGGCGGAAGCCTCTCGTTGTACGGTGTTACTGCATGCTGCTTCTGCAAAGCCCATTGGCGCGGAGCGCCTTTGCCGCACACTGCTTCCATAGTATGTCCGAGCGAAGTTGCAGACAGGATCAACAGAGGAGAGATCCATCCAACCCTGAGGGATCCATCCAACTCTCCATCCTCTCAGCATGCCATCTTGGTTCGCAATGTTGGCAGAAAGGTGATCATTCGTAGCATCTGTGGTAAGAAACAGAAGGCAATAGTGGCCACATGCGGCGATGTGTGCCAGCGGATCTGAATTCATTGCTCCAGGGCACTGGCCGGGGCACCTTTGGAAAGAGTTCTTTCGCGCCAAACAGCATGTCGCAAAGAACGGTGAGTTCGGTTTGGTACAGGTTTTTGGTAGGTTCTGGCACAAGACACTGTGGCGGGAAGCACGAGGCCCGACATAGCGGCCACCGTGCGTCTGTAGATAGGGCCCAGGCAGGTCCATTGGGTGCCGAACTGAGTTGTGCCGACGTTGTGACCGCGCATTCAAAGGTTCCTTTCGAAAGCTTTCAAGTCTTTAGCAGCGGGATGCGCAGCCTTCGTGTGCAGCTCCGGGAGGATAAAAACCAAACAGACATAACAGACAACTTTACAAGTGTGGATTTCCAGAATGCGTAACCTGTGCGATCTTGTGCACTTTGGTGTTCTGAACTCCCTTCTTCTGTTCTGCCGTTAGCGGATCGCTTGAGCTGAGAGGTTTTTTTGGAAAAAGCACTTCCTGCGAGAACATGTGCCTGTGAACGCTGCAGTCCGAGTGCCCTTGTGACTTCAGCTCTTCATTGCCATACGAGTTAGATGACAGAGACCGCCAAATCATGGAGCTCCGCATGGTGTGTAGCGCGATGTGCCATGCGACAGTGTGCAGAGCAGGTTTTTATTGCAATGGGAGCATGCGAAGTGAAGTGCAGTGCAGGGGTGGATGACGTGTTGTGACAGGTTCTGAGCAAAACACCATTGAAACGAGTTCTTTTCATCGCGAAGTGGTAAGCAGATAGTTGCTAGAAACCCGTATCCGTATCAGCCACAAACAAGCTGTGTATCCGTTTCTTCCAGATTCACCGCTGTGCATCGTGTGCCACTGTAGCCCGTGTTTTTTGCTTTGGCCTAGGCGTGGTGGACATCTAAGTTTTGGTTAAGTTTGAGCAGCCAGCTAGTTGTGGAGCCTTGTCAGGCTCTGGATCCAGCCTTCTACGATTCTTGTGGAAGTCTTGGGAAAGCGGCTCGACCAGATTGCGCATGTTTGAGCGTGGCAGACAGCACTTGGCATTCATGTGGCGCTAAGGCAGAACTCCGTTTACTCAGAGAATTTGGCCTTGCTCACGGGTGCGACCCATTTCACTATCAGTTCAGCGCAGGATCTCAGACGAGCTTGAGATCCGAGCTCCTGCATGTGCGTGTCAGTGGCGGAATGGTCCAGTTCATTGGGATGCGGCAGGAGGACGACAAGCTGATTCAGTCGGCATCCCGTGCCATTTATGTTGCTTGGACGTAAGTTCACGCCAGCCCTACAGCAGCTCGGTCTTGGGATGCGACTGCCGTCATGTCTGGGGAGGTGGCAAGGCGGATTCTAAGTGAATGGTAGTGAAAGAACCATCGTGTGCAACGACAATGCATTGCCATGTGCTCCAATGCACGTGAAATTATTCCGATGCGTCGAGACAGAGCAGGAGCAGTGATTCCCATGTCCGCATCCGTTTTTCTATGCCAGTTCCGCCCGTTCCAGGTTCGAGATAACTCCTTTAAATCACTTAAATCTTTCTGCTCTGTTGGGCGCTGCTTTCCTGCGAGCGAAGCTCGCCAACCTGCTCAGCTGTCTCTGCGTGCGAAGTGCAGAGGCACTGAACCACCGGCCGCCTACTGCCGGAATGTCGTTGGATGAAGTGGGTGGCACATCAGAGCTGGAAGGCCGCGGGGCCTCGAATTCTGATACCTTCGAGTGCGGCAGATTGCAGATTGTTGAAGCATGGATGCGACATGTCTGGTTTCGGAAAGCAGGATGTGAGGAGTTTTATCTTCCAGCCGGCGGCTGGACAGACGGCTGGCGAGACGTTGCAAAGACCCTAAAGTCAGCACAGAGGCTTGGCTTCTTTTGAAGGTTTGTCTCTCTGCGTATGTAGTACGAAGACGTGACCAAGACCGAATCGTTGAGGCACAAGCATTTTCTCCTTAGTTTAAGTGCGCGAGCACATACACAGCCCTAGAGCACCAAGGACTTGATGCACCTTCATGATGTGGCTGCCGATGCAATCGGAAGTGCTCCGCTCAAGGCATTTGCAGTAAGAGTGCTCCGTTCAGTGGGTTTTTCCTGACGCTTCCTGTGCAGCTTTGAAGCCGCAGCGTATGCTACAGGGAGAAGGACTGCCACGGTTTGAGGTAAACTTGTAAGCTGCTTGTAACGAGATGCAATTGATGTCTCAGCGAGCTGTTCATGGGTTCATGGCAGACGCTTACACGGCTTGGCTGCTTTGCCTGAGACAGGACGCTCGGAGATTCTCGGTCTGAGTGCTTGGGAAGGTAGATCATTCTATGCGTGTTCGCGCTCCCGGCAGCAAAAAGGCGTGTAGAACTGATGCATGCTTCGGGCTGCAGCAAGGGCCCTCTGGAATGGAAGAGCACTTTCAGTCTGTCAGGGCAGACCTGTGAGTCCTGCGGCTGCTGCTTGGAGTGCGAGGATCCCGCAGGACAGAGCGGGACGTGTTTCCTTCATCACGCTTCTTTTGCGGGCTCTGTCCGATGTCCGAGTCTCTAGGTGTGTTCTGTGTTCTGCTCCACTTTACTTCTCTGCCAGGGGGGTGTTGGAGCCAAAGGCAGGCTGGCCGAATCAACTTGGATTCAAGACAAGGTCCGCACCGTGCATTGTGGCTGTGAGAAGGAGCTCCGGGAAAGGCACGTCAGCAATGCGTCGGAGAGCACAGATTCCTGAAATCGAAAGAAGTGCGGAGCATTCTCAATAACTTCACCTGAGGTTGGGCAGACAGTCTTCGGAACCCTGCTGGCTGGCACTACTTCGACTTTTCAGCGAAGCCGCAAAGCCGCCACCCATTGCCGAGGAAGTCCGGAGAATCAGACCATTTCGCTGAAAGAATCTAGCTTTTCGAGTTTGACCCTCAAGCATTCTCTTGCTTCCTGCATCTGCTTGTCGGCCACGGCACTGACACTCTCCTCGACTAAAGGCTGTTAGTTTTGATGCTCAGGCCTAGCCCAGGTGCCGCTGTGTCACGTCCTTGCAGCCCCCAGCACTGGCGATGCAGCCTGCCGTAAGGGCAACATTCGACGGAAACTGCCGTGCCCTGCTCGCGAGTAGAAGCCCGATGTTCGATTCTGTTCTCGACTGGTGCCACGATTTTGTCTCATCTGAAGTATTTTCTATGTATCGGTAATTCAGGAGGAACTTGCCAGAGCATCTGTGCGCGGCATATCCCTTGCCAACCCACCTGAAAAGCGTCACGTCCTCTTTTTGCCTCCTGTTGGAGACATTTTCGAGTGCTGTCGACAAGGCCTAGCAGGCCCTGGCGATTGTTGTTCTGGGTAGACAAAACCTCGGCCCGACGTTCGGGGCTCTGAGAGTCCCTGGCAAATGCATAGTGTCACAAAGAGAGCAGCCAAAGCCAGGCCTCTGCCTCTGCGTCAGAGAGGACCACGGATAGGCTCAAAAGTGCGGCGCAAATGCTGAGTTTTCAGCGATGCAGAGGAGCAAGGCGGACATGGGCGTCGACACCGAGCAGAGGGCTATGAGCCATTGACCTGTACCTTAGGCTGCCTGGGCCTGAGAGGCCCCGTATGGTTCCAGACGTCGGAGAGGACACTGTGCAAAAACAAGGAGCTTGCTTGAGCGGCTTCTGCTTGACTCCCGTGCATGTGGTAGTGCATGTGCTATCTGCAATTTGGGGGTGTGTTGGACTGCCGCAACGGGCAATGTGAATGTGGATCAGGCGGTTTCATGGGTAGTCACATGGTGCATCGTCGTGTCGTCAAGCAGGTAGTTCAGCTCCAGCCGCATTTAGATTCAACAGCACGGCGACACACGTCCTGACAGACTCAGTGGCCAAACTGTGCCGAATATAGCCACCAACCCATCAGCAAAGACCACACTCAGGAGCCGAAGATATCCGAAGATGGGCCAGCCCGAAGTAGAGTAGATCAGTGAACAAGCTTGTGGGTTTCGGCACGCATAAGATAAAGACGATTGCCTGGGGCGCGTCTTCAGGCACGCCCGCCCTTGCTTTCGCAACTTTGGGTTCCAGTCCTACGTTCTTCGGCATGTCAGGTAGTCTGTGCGGTTGGTTGATCGTGTCACACTGCGTTTGCCAGGGAAGAGCTGGATAGAATCATATTATTGCGCACTTTTGAAGTTTCAAGTTCGAGCAGGATACCAATTTGTTTGGGAGGATAGGGTCACGTCAACTAGTATCAGAGTGAAGGAATGGCTTGAGAGGAGCCGGAGGATCCAACAACATCGAAGATCATGTTTCAGATATCCTTCTTCCTTGCTGTTCGAGACGAGGAGAAGTGAAGGTAAACAGTGTCCCATTGGCCAGAGATTGAAAGCGAAAGCGAGCGGAGTCCATCCTTAACACTCTGCATTCGAGTCTTGTCGCAGAGTTCCAGGCATCTTTCGGCCGAGAAGGTAGAAGAGCATGATAATTAACAGGCTCAACACCCAGGTAGAGAGATTCAAGCCAAGTTGGCCAGCAGGCAAGCTGAACCAGCAAAGCTTGACCGACAACAACCCTTCACAAGCCAAAGAAAAGCTTCAGGGGGCAGCGGCGGGCCTGAGTGTGTGGCAAACCATAGCAGACCCACAGCCAGAGCTTTCACAGCGAGGCGACAGAGGAGCGGAGTAGGCACGCAGCAAAGACAATGCAACAATGCCGTTACAGCCTAATCGAAGAGCCACCGGGGGCATTCAACGGCAGCCAAGGCTGCCGCAGAGCAGAGGGTGTCAGGGTGGGTGTCTCGTGCATAGCATAGGCTATCATAGGCTGAACGACACAGTCTCAGTCAGGTTTCGGAGAGAACCGAAGGCAACGAGTCAGAAGATGTCAGAAGACCGACTCAAAACTCGCGACACTGGACACTTTCCTCGCTGCACCACCTGCTTATAGGATGTGTGGCAGAAAGATCACTCTACGTGGAAGGGGCTCCCCCAATAAAAATGGAAAGCTGCTTTTGATTCTTTTGCACACAAAGCGCACCTGGAGCCGTGGAGTGCTCCGGAATCCGCTCGCGCTGCTCCATTCGGATTGGGTGTCCGCTTCATCAAAGAGACTTGCATGCGGTCTCCCAAACCCTTTGGGGTTCGTGACCATGCTCTAGATTGCAGGACAACCTTTCCAAGGCAAATGAGTTGATTTTAAAAACAAACGAAACGTTCAAGTGCAGATGCAGTATAGGCTTTGAAAATCTCTATCACCAGACGCGTATCTTCAAACCTATGTTCGTCCTCAACCCAGCCTCTAGACTGCATCGCCTTGGGCTCATATCCAGTTTGTTAATGCCGGATCGCCGGTAGAGAAGCCTCACAGTCTTCACCAGCCACTGACCCGAAGGTTTGGAAAAAGTCCTCCAAGCTGAACCCCGAGTGAAACAGCACAGAGATGCCGGCTACTGCAGTTGCACATGTTCTTGGCTCACTTTCGAAGTGTCGAATCCTTCGAGTATGTACCGTGGTATGCGATTCCGAGACGCCTGAGTTGCTGCCGGGATGTTGCTTTGAACTAGTTTGAACTCACAAAGAAAGCCTAGCTGAAGGATGTCTCGCTTTCGTAGTCTGCTCGAATCCTTGTAACGACGAAGCCAAGCCATAGGCGAAAGTACCATGAGTGGCAGCAGAAATCGCGACGACGACACCGACCACGGCCAACGGCGACTGGGACGGCGGTGCAACGACGACCACCGCGACGGCTACCACCAAAGCTGGGAGTCTGAGGTCTTTGCACACCGAGCTTTAAAGACACAGGAACCCGACGAACCCGACATGAGAGCAAAAGCAGGGCCATGGCCTCGCAACACGGAAGATTTCTGCTCCAGCCTTGCCGCTGCCGTCATGCCACGGGAAAGGCAAAAGTCTTGCAAAGCATCGCTTTCGTGCAGATGCCTGCGGCGTACCGGCATCCCGCGCCGCAGTATCCATGTCTGCAGCGGGCTTGGCAGGAACATGGTGTGAAGAAACATATTGGTACGTGCGACTGCTGCGCACAACTGCATCTCAACACAGTACGTTTGACGATGTTACACCGCAGAGATGTGGCCGAGGTCTGCCGAAGAAGCAGCAAGTCGTGCAGACGATCATGGACGAAAGCTGCACGAGCATCTCGGCTGAATTCGGCACAGCAGCATGCACGTGTTCTGCATACCAGCATTTCGACAACTGTTTGAGCAGTACCAACTGTATCGGGGAAGTGTTGGCCGTGGTTCTGAGAGTCGCATCGGCCGCAGTCTCCTCGTTTACGGCTTAAGATTCCATGCGTGAGCCTCTGAGCATATCAGAGCTGGTGCCGGCTAGAGGAGCCTCTTAGAAAAGGCCATCGGCGAAGTACTTCCCACGGAAATAAGCGGTGCGGCGCAAGCAAACAAGCCACTGCCCTCGAATGGTGCCCTCCAAGGTTGAAATGGCTGTACCTGGACAGTGTCGGCCAGGACGATCTCAATCTTGGGACACGGGTGGACTCGTGAGACACACTGGCGAGGAATTCGGACCGCTTTCAAGTGGGACCATGCAAGAGGCCCCCGATTGAGCCAAGAGTCGAGCAAGACGCTCTGGGTCCCTGCGCTGTCCCACTGCAGTGGCTGACCATGGGCCGCTTTCCCGTCGGACTTGATCTTCGAGTTCGATTGCCTGAGCTCAAACCTGAGATTTCTGGGCTTGCATGCGATTGTTTTGCATGCTGGGGCATGTCCGGGCTTTGCAGTCGGAGGAGGCTCAAAACATGTTGTATTGTCAAATCCAAGCACCGCCGTCTTCGGCGAGAGGACCTGCTCTGCACAAGGGCCTAGTCTCAGTCTGACGTGTTTTTCCTATCTAGCACCTTGCAGGAAGGAATGCATGTAGCGCTGTGTGCGCTTGCGATCGCCTGTGATGCTGCGCGCGATCCCAGCGAGCAGCATGTGGCCAAGGGGTGGGGGACAAGGCATGCGATGAGCCGTAGACCGCAGCAGACTCCGCAGTCAGTAAGGAGCAGGCTTCGAGAAGCTCCATGGGCATTGCTCGAGACAGGCCGTCGGCATGGCACGCTCCGCACCTCGCGCTTCCTGGTTTTGGAGGCGATTCCGTTTGGGCCCGTCATGCTCAAATGGATGTCGAGAAGGCGCTATCCTTTCTCCGTCTCATCTCGACCACGCCAGGGCTGCTCGATGCTCATACATGCCCGTACCGTGGCTCTTAGGCACGGCTTGGACACAGTGGTCGGGAGACACTTGCTTGCAAGAGTCAGTCGATCACTAAAGACCTGGAATGGAAGATGCAGGGTAGCCCCAAGCACTTCTGAGGACAGAGACAAGACTTTCTGAGGATGACCCTGAGAAGGAGGCATGGAATGCCTGTGCGTTGAGCTGTCGAGTTGGTCTCACCGCCTTTCGGCCAATCGGAGGATGCCGACAGCGACGGCCTCGATGAGGATGAGGAAGCCCTCAACCGCATTGCAACTGCAAGTCTTGGCACTCGTCATGCCAGCAGGAAGACGAGGATGGCGCAGAGGGTGAGAAGCGGTACCAGGTGTCCTCGTATGCCCCTGACCCACCACTATTGGTGATCTTCCAATTGAAACATCTGAGGGGCTTGCTATCTGCGTTCCGAGCTGGTGCAGGATCTGCCAGACCTGAGTGAGGAGCCATTCAACAAGTACAACGTCTGCCGGCTGCAGCTCACGCACTTCTGCATACTTTTGCAATCACCATCCAGCATGCTCAGTTTTCTAGGCGCTAGCTGCAGATGATGGGCCTGTTGCCTCGGCTATCTCTGCAGCCGAGACAGCAGCAGCCGCGGCGACTAAGTTGCAATTCTGTATTGCCGGCCATGATTATTCGAATCCTACGTAAGGTCAAAGAATCAGCAGTCGTGTGGAAGATGACCGAGGAGGTGCAAAGTGTTTTGGAATGTTGCGGCGAGCATGCCGAGTCATGTCGAGTCATGCCTGTGACAGCCTGTGACACTGTACACCAAGCGGTGAGCCGAGTCGGCTTGTGACTCTCGGCTCGTGACCCATGGGGGCACGCAGGGGTGATCCAGCGCGGCCTGCTAGTCTGAGCACCGCAATTCCTTGCTAGGACCTTCAAGAGGCCGCAGGAGACGTGAATGCAGCCACGAAGAAGTCTGAGGAGGAGACGCGGCTGCAGCTCGATTCCATGGATCGGACGGCTTATGCTCGCTGTTGCAGAGGATGTTGCGAAGGGAGACCGCGTCCTTTATGACTTGAAGGTGCGTCTTTCTCATCTCTCTGTTCGGCGGCGCCTAGGGTGATGACGGGATAATACGGGTGATACGGGTGATAAGGATGACACAGGAATAAGGACGATCCATGTGATTAGGGTGAGCTCCTCTGCATCAGAGCGGCGCCCGCGCGTACAGCGACTTGTTGCTGCTACTTCCACAAGTGTTGTAGCACAATGGCATATATATATATATATATACATACATACATACATACATACATACATACATACATACATACATACATACATACATATGTATATACATAAATGATATGCAAACCGAAGCAGGAGTCTTCAGCTTGTAGTTGTGGAGATCTGCCCATTAAGACAGCTATAACTCGCACAACTGCAAGGAGACAGGCAATCACACGGAGTGACATGTACAAGCGACAGTACCTGCACCAGCAGACCCACGCATCTTGTTTTGAAGCCCATCTGGCATATGTTTTGGGGTGAATCGCGTTTTGTCCCGCAGCCGGCGTCGTCGGCTCTTGGAGTGCAGAATATTGCAGAATCATATAGAAAGTGTAAGATATAGATGGTTGCGATGTGATTTCGGTTGATGGCAATCTCAAGCAGATCTTACCACAAGCACTGCACGTGTATGTGCTGGCGAGGCCAAGCCTGGAAGAGAGGTGAAGAAGGAGGTTGAGGAAGCCAAGATCTCCACACCGTGTAGTTCCGTGTTCCGTGTTGGTTTTCTCGGGTTCCTACTTTCAACTTGTTGGCTGCAGGAAAACTTGGCACGAATGCAGGAAGAAAGTGGAGACATGCATCTTGGCATTAATAAGCTCTTCGTTCAGCTTTTGTGCTGCGTGGTGGAGATGGATCGTGGTGTCATTGCACGGCGTGTGTTTAGCCACATGCGGGTCATAAATCACATTGGAGGCCAACGACGACGCCAAGCTGAAGGCGGTCAAGGCTTATCGTTGTGTTTGCTTTGATGTTTCGTTCCAGTTCGCGGTAATCTTGTTTCGATTTTCAGCAGGTGGCATTCTGGTAGCTGCCGGAGCGGAAAACATGATCTCGCGAGCATGCTCGACAGTTCACGTGCACTCTGCCACTCTGCCACTCTGCATATGCTCCGTTATCTGACGTGTACGAGGTGGGACCAGCATCTCCCGCTGCGTCAGCTTCAGCCATAGCCTGCACGTGCACAGAGAACAGTTGGGCTCTTCCCTGCTCTACAGTACAGGCAGCTGTGCTCTCACGAGCTCAGGATATTCCCGGATCTTTCAGCAGCCTTTCGACTACCGCCAGCCTGGCCGGAGGTCGGAGCCTTCGCATCACACTGGTGCACCGATTCTTATACCGCGTGAAGTTTCGTGTGCTCATGGCACCGCACGGTCATGCTTCTCGACCTTCGCCTGGTCTCGCCCCGGCTGGGACAATGGGAACCGGAGTTTTCCCAGTCCGTTCACAACCGCGTATGCGGGCACTCTGGCACGGAAGCTTTTGCAGCTCTTGATGGTGATGAAACATCAGGATCTTTAGTCAGCCAGCCTCGCGCGCTCCAGTCAGTCCTGTGCCAAAGATGTGCTGTGTGAGAGCGACCGGCGAAAACCGTCTTGTAGCACGACTACAGGGCAGACGAACATAGACTTTTTCAAAGGAAAGAGATACCTCCGAAGAGCGATACAGCTCCCGCGGGCGTTTGCTTGTAGAAATACCAACTCATAGTCCCACAGGCGATACCCCTCGGAATTTGTCCGCTTAGCGACTGGGTTTTGCCAACTGCTTATTTGCTTCGTTCTTTTCGATTCGATCAGTGCTGTAGCTGAAGGCCTGCCAAGAAGGCAAGTCTTCCGGCTCTGGCAGCCTGGAAGTGGAGGCCACAGACGGTGTGAGCCATCCTTGAAACACTCGCTTCTCTACGATTGGCAGGATCTGCGGCGATCCATCCGTCTTTCTCTGAGACTCAACGGGATGATGCCTGCGAACTGTTCGCAACAATATTCCCAATCGGATGCCATAAGGTGAGTCGGGACGCATGAGCATTGATCTCAGTCGACACTATGGCACTATGCACTGTGTGAGACAAGCATGCCATCAGTATCCAAAGATATCCAAAGCTTGGTCGTTTCGAGGTGGGCCATTCCACAACTGTGTGCCCAGCAGGCCGGGGTCGAATCGTACACCAGGTCATCAGGTGAGATCAGGCAGACGTCTTGCGTTCTGTTCATCGGAGACCGTAGTGCCTGCAGTGTCAACTTGCTATCCGCTATCCGCGAAAGCAGGGGCCTGGGCCCATTTTTGGGCTCGTTCTAGCCGAAAAAAAGGAACTCATAGCCGGGGTTCCTGCTTTGCCGGTGAAGGCTTCTGTTGTTGATGTTGTTGTTGATGATTGGATGATGATGCCGACGATGAGAAAGGAGATGAGATACATGAGATGACGATTTCGGCACGAAACGCGGCAGACCCTTGAAATGGCATGAGTGGAAGATGGGCCTCTTCCAGCTGCCCACGTCGAAACCAAACATGCTGCGAGGGAGAGGAAAACAAAGATCTTTGAGGAAAACAAAGATCTTTGAGGGCGGGAGGGACGGGTGAAGTTGTGGCCGCTGGCATGCTGTTCGCTGCACCACGTCCCGCGCCCCGGCGTGGGTCCATGGTTCTTGTCGGTGGTACTAGCATCGCTTCCCAGAAACTCTCAATGCACCAGCGCGTTGTTGGTTCATCTATGTTCGTCTGGTAGGGTTGTCATGCTGCAGCATCATGCTCTTTTCGAGTGACATGAGCCGTGACCCGTTGCAGCTCTTCGGCATCCCAGGGCGCACCGGGCTCAGTGCCACACTGCGCCACTCATGTTCTTAGATGCAGTGGTGAAATTCAAAGGCATGTAGGATGGGCATGTATGTCTTCACAAGCGCGATGGAGCAGCGGAATCAGTGATGCTGCTCAATCAAGCTGTAGCTCGGAATCAACGCAGGTTGACACTTACCTTCGGCTACCGAGAGGGTTCATGAGCAGGATCGACATGCTGCTTCTATGCATGTGCTGTGGCTTCCATGGCTGGCTCCAATGGCACGACGACATTGTCTGTGGCTTGGTCTCATAGTCAACCTCAAGCAGGAGGAAGTTGCGCTGATACACGACTCCGCGTGTCACAGCGAAACTGCGATCGGAAAGGGCTGTCGGGCCCGCAATCTGGAAGTTTACGAATTCAAGCACTTCACTCCCGAGATGCAGCTCAAGCGTCGACTCGGCGTGTGATTCACAGAACACTGCAGTGTGTTGGGACAGGTTGGCAGGTGCATCCAGTCGACGCTTGCATGCTGGATGCTTCGGCTGCTTGGGGAAGCAATGCCATTTCCAGCAAGACAGGCTGCAGATTCAGATATCACATCAAGTCGTATCAAGTCCTCCAAACATGCTTTATGCAGCCAGGGCCCAGAAGGCCTGAGGCCAGCTTCATCTCTTGCCTGCTTTAGCGGTGCTGGAGACGTCTCTCAGCGGTGTTGATCGGCTCGCGTCCAGAGCATGTCCGGAGCAAGGACGGGCAGCCGGCGGCATGCAAGTCGCTGAGACCTGAGGCTCAGACCATCCCCTGCTCCGTCAGCTCCGTTTCGTTCGCCCCTTCTGCCTGCGTCTGAGTGGCAAGTTCTTGGATACTCTAGCAGCGTGCAGGCGGACTTACATAAGTAGTTAATCTGTCCCGCGGAGACACCGATCGCGAGGGACGTTGCCTTGAAGTTTGGAATTGACTTGACAGTCCATTTAGCAATAGTTGCCCGTTGCCGATGTGGCCAATGATTGTCATTTGTTGGAATCTGACGATTCTCGTTATGCGCTGATTATGTGCTTGCTGCTTTGATGATTGACAATACCTGCTTGTGCTTGATCAACTGCGAGTGGAACCGTCGAGTAAACAGGCCTGGGATCGAGTAACCTATGTAATTGTACATGTAGGAGCAAGATGAGCAAGATTGCCAGTTCCTTTTTTTGACATGTATCTTCCAGCTATTGGCACGACTAGTGTGGTGCTGAAGATCGCCTTCCTGGGGTGGAGACCCTGTGCCAGAGGATGTTGAGGGAACCAATACCGATCTTCCGAGGCTAGAGGAATCTATTGGCCATTCGTGAATTTTCAACGGCTCGACGGTTTAAGCTCAAGGAAGCGTGTTCAGGAACAATCCTTACGTGTTGACTCTTGTCGTCTAGAGAGCCATTGCCCAGGCCGAGGCAGTCAATGGCGAGCCATGCTTCAGAATAAGTATGTAATGGTCAGACTAAGGAAGGAGCGTCATGCTTTCTCCTTTGTCGCAGTTCCTGTAGCGGCAGATTCTGCAGCCGTACATTTTGTGACGTCGAATAGCGTCTGGGTCAGCTGCGAAGGTATTTTTTGGGAATCCTACTTGTGCGGATTTAGATTAATTAAAGCCGCATTGGCTTTGAACCACAGCGTTGACCAGCGTTCGAGGTCTGAGAGGAGGATCCAAGTTTAAGGCACAGCGGCACAGCGCAGCCGTGCAATAGCAACGCCATGCAACACTCTGCAAGATCTGTTTTGCCTTGGCGACGTAGTGTTTGCTTTCGAGGTGATGCGGCCGGAGAGAAACAAGATCCCGACAGCTGAGCAAGCCAGGCTCGTTCTATCACATGCATTACGTAGTGCCGTGGCACACAGTGTTTTGCTGTTTGTGACAGAACCAGAGCTACGTCTGGCACATGACGTGTTTATGCGAAAAGCATCAGTTCACTGTCCCGGGATTCCTTCTCATGAATCGCCTGTCAATCGGCACCAAGACTCAGTGGAGCGCCTGCCTAGGTGCACTCCAATATTTCGTATAAGGAAAGGGATCTCTTTTTTGTTATTGACAGAGCTTCTTTGCTCAAGGGATGGAAAAGCTTACTGAGGCTTGTTTTTCATGACGGATATCCGTGAATGAGCAAGGAGTTGTTTCATTATTTACTGAGAGAAGAACAAATGTTCTATGTGGTATGACGACATGAACTGCAATGTCCCCGAGTCGAGTTTGTCTACATGTACCACAGCATTAAGTTTCAGCTGTCCTGAAGTCTTAATTAAAACTGAAAATCTTAAGGCATTCGATAGTAATCAACAGTATGTCGAGCCAATGTCGAGCCCTTTGCTTCTTCTATCGCACATACAATTGACAAGGGCATTTCTTCTCGAAGTACGAAATGAGGGAAAGCTGTCTTTGTAACAAGAAACCTAACCACGATCTTTTTTGTGGCTTGCTGGCAGCATGAAGTAATAGAGCTCTTGCTTTCAATAGCCCGCCTTCTTCTTCCTGAGAAACATGGTAGCACCTCTATCTTCGGTTATGCTTGTGAATTGATGTGCTTATCCTGGGAAGGAACAAGAGAACTTCTGGTTGCTGAAGAGAACGTGCTAAGGCTCTATCTATTTTCGTCACTAGTAACAAGAAAAGCAATTTTCACATCATCAGTAAAACCTGAAATTGCTGCAGCACCTCTATGGTACGTGGCAGCAATTCAAACCTCCGGAGTGTGAACATCTTTACACTGCAAAACTTCCACAGCTCTTTTACTTCTTTATATGAAAAGAACGAGCTAACGAAGAATCTCCGGCTTATCTAGCTCCAAACGAAGAATCTTTAACCTTCATCTGCGAGACACGAGAGCAAGCAAGAGCTTGGAGGTTTCGATGGGTTTTGCTGAACGACATGGCCGGAAGTAATCCGAGGGGGCAGTCTTATGCAGAGAAGTGGAGTAATTGCTTGATCACAGTCGTCGCCAAGCCTTGATTTGTGACACAAGTCAATCCAGCAAAGCTGTTTGAAGCGTTGGACGGAATTCAGCTTCCTCTGCAGGGATCTTGCGACTGCAAAGCCCCCGTCTTTGCCTCAGTCTCATGTTTTCCTCCGTGTTTCTGTTCCATGAATGACACGGCGTTACAGCATGTTGTTGTCAGGGACTCGCTGCCGCTCCCGCCGCGTGAGTCAATCCTGCTGGAGAGGCCGCAGACCTCGACCGATTATTTTGCAGAGACGATGAGCTCAAGCTCGACATATGTCTTTCGGAGTTTTGCTTTTTGCGGTGTCGCTCAGGGCTGAGCTGCCGCCACTTCCGAAGGCCCAATCGGTGCTGGAAAGGCCAGCAGACCAACCAATAAGAGCCTCTGCAAGTTTTGGTTCTCTCGACATGTGTGGTCATGGTACGCAGGCTGCTGCAGCAGGAAAAGCAAGAGGCTGGGCGACGTACGCAACAGTCGAGCTTGGAACCCGCCCTGCGCGCAGTTGCGGCTGACCTGCCAAATCAATGGCCAGACGAAGGACTCTGGCAGGCTCTTCCTCGAAAAGGCTCCCCAGTCCAATTATTTCCATTCTTGAATCCCGTGCCAGCACATCACTTCCTTCAACAGGTCGCCAACGGTGCGTCTCACAAGGTCAACGGGACCAACGGGCCCAACGGGACACATGGCACGAATGGAAAACTGGAGGCGCATCCGAAACGTCGCACCACTCGTGCCGTTGTTGTTCGTGCAAGTGCACGTACCTCTGGCCGTCTTGCCTTGAAGGCCGACCGACTTGTGCAGAATGGAAATGGAGCAGTCGTTGCACTGTTGCAAGACTAGCCGTTCCTTCGCGGCAGTTGAGTGTTGGCAAGTTCGTTGTGGTATGCATCTCCAGTAGAACTCAAGATGGTTGTTCAAAGGCTTTTGCCAGGTCATGTGCATTTACGGGGATGAGGCTTGGGGATGGCGGTTCACCGAAAACTCCAGAACTATTGTCATTCACTGGATGGCAAGACATTGGCTGTCCACGACTTGACTGCTCGAAATGCGTAGCCGCAGAGATTCGTCGATGACGAAGCGTATGCGAGGCCGAATCTGAAGCACCGTCGCACGCAGTGAGTGCGGTTGTGTACTCTGTTCCTCGAGAACAGAGGTCCGGCTTGCACCAAGTAGAGCATTCTACTTCGTGTTGGGCTGCCTTCTAGCTCCTCTTCGGCTGCAGTGCGATGTAGTGCGCAACGGTGGGTGTCACCTGAAGTCTGAGTATGTACTTTGAATGAAAGAGCCCTGCTGTTGACTGGTCTATCTTGCCTGTGTACTTGTATCTGTCACCTCGACGACTTCAGGCACTTGTTCTCATTGCTGCAGCGTATTTCAACATGCAGCACTGTCATCCCACCGTCTTCGTGGTACTCAGCTTGTTGCCACTCGTAGCGAGCCCTCTCAGATGTGGTATGAATTCTGCCGATGTCAGGATCAGCTGATAGAACAGGGAGGCTACTGTACGACTTGAGAGTGCATTCAGGGCAGATTTTGCCGAACATCATCGGGCAAGTGCATAGTACAGGAGCAAGCCCAAGAAGTCTTGGTTTCCTTGTGCAGTTCCGTTTGTGTGTATACAGTGCATCGCAACCTGTAGCATCAGCCTGCATTTGCCGAGTATGACGCGAATATGTAGTTTTGGTCCCGATTGTCCCATGCATCCGCATTCAATCCCACACAGAACGCCAGTTTTTGTGCTTCCTGTGTCAGAAACAAACCATGCAATAGTCTCGGAATGATTCTTGATCGCGGTGCGAAGTCTTGCAGTCAATGTCAAGCGGCTTGCAGGCCCGAAAAACGAGTGCTTCCGCATGCTGCAAGCTGGATGTGGTAAAGTCATGTAAGATCTCAACATTGGATGGGCGCAGCTCACTTTCGGGCTCTGAGGTGACCAACGTGAGAGTTATGAGATCTCTACTTTCTTTGCAGTCTTCTTTTGGCCTATGTCGAGCGCAGCCTGGTGCCACCCTTCTACCGTCACGTAGCCCTTCCCAAGACTTGAGTCTTGCTGACTTCGAACAGCAATGCGGCAGCTGAAGCGGAAAAATGCAGGCGCGGCGCTGCTCCCAGGCGCAGAAAACCAGTTTGGCTGGGAGACCTTGCATGTCAAGCAGGCATTGTGTCTGATTAACTATTCCGTGCACAGTATTGACGAGTGCGACAGTTTGGCTCAGCTGGCAAAGCTGGCAAGCCGATGACTTCTATGATGATTCGCATCTGCTAGCTACACAGCCGCTTGCCACTGTTCTTGTTGCGAGGAGGTACAAGAAGAAATACTGGAGATGCCTTAGCATTATTTGCTCCGTGGACACATTTATATTGTTACTACCGTTCCCCTCCCCCAGCCAGGCCCCCCTCCAATCCCCGCAGGATGGGATGGGAAACCATGTCGTTATTATTTGGTTTCCAACTGAAATCAATAGTAATGCCCACCCAGGCCCTCCCTTCCACAAAAAGAACAATTGTAATACTAATTACGAAAATATGAAAGACTCATACTAATACGAATACTAGCACTGCTGCTTGACGAGAAGACCTCTGTCGGCCAGCAGCTCCTCCGCCATGGCGGCAAAACGGGGGTACTCGCGCCGTGCCCTTTCCCCACTACTCTTCAAAATAGCCTCGTTAGGAGGCCTCTTAGCCGAAATGGCAAGCCATTCCGAGACCTCAGATTTAGCCGTAACCACCTTTATCTAGCGAAACACATGTGATGATCTCATGGGCTACAGGCAGCAGCTGCTAGCAAACCTGGTCGTACCACGGGCACGAATTCGATCATTGTTGTGGCGCACTGCTAGTCGTCGAAGACTCACTGCTAGAGGAACACCATGAGCTAGTCCCGATCATGACACGTCAAGCGTGGATCATGAGCTTCTAGACTCGGGCTAACAAGAAAATACCGGATGCCAGTGGAGCCTTCTTGGGTAATTTGGAGTGGCAGAGGCAATTGCCGCCGATCACGGTGAAGGAGCCAGTGCTCGCATGGGTTCATCTCGCAAGCAAAAACTGTGGATGTCGAAGCTGCAGGTGGGGCTGAAGGATTTTGCCGCCCCGGTGTTAGCAAGGCTTCCCCAGGCCCGGACAGGGCAACTAGTCTGCTCGGACGGACGGGCTAGCACCTTGAAGCGTTACCTCACCTACTACCGACAATGGAGACTTGGGCTGGGGTGGCCATGCTAAGTGGCTTGGACGAACATGGCGGGAGAGGCACTGCTAAAGACTATCGCCTAGCTGGGGAACGTGGCCGAGTTCCCCCGTTTGGGCTGCTAAGGATAGGATAGTGGAGGAGCTATCCGAGGCGGCCCCTTAACAAAAAGGGTCCGAAGCTTGGCCTAGAAAAGGTATTCTCATCTGGGCTTGCTAAAGGTGTGGGGGGCGCCGCGAGCTTGGTGGAAGGGCGTACAGAGCTGCCAGTCTGCATCTCCGAACGGGCCTTCTTGGCCTACTCTGGGTGGCTTGCTACGGGCTTTGCCCTGCTAAAAGAGCATGCCAGCTATAAGCGGGACTGCCTGCTCCCGCGACTGGGGCGGAATGGCCTGCTGGAAAAGAGACTGGCTGCCTACGCAGAGGCTTTGGTGGCCACGGCCGGCTTGCTATCAACACTGGATATGCCGGCTAATTATTGTCCAAGGCTTTTGGACGGAGCACAGCGAGCGAGCCGTCTTGCCGACGGCGGCAGTTTTACAGGTGCAACCCGAGGAGGGGAGGGCCGGGACGGGTTGGCTTTCTCCTGCTGCTCGCCTCAGGTTTGCCTCCGATACGATCTGAAAATTATCCTCCCAGCGTTTTGGTCAAATTGTCAAGTGGTGAAGTGGCGAGTGTTATTTCGCCAAGCCCGGAAGGGAGCTGCCATGGCAGATACACGCTTCAGACCTTCGTTTCCTGCTACGGCCACGCTATTCGACAACAGGATTGACGCAGTAGCCAACTTCGCTGCCTTTGTCAGCAATGCTAACGATCTCCGTGAGGTCCTCAAGAAAGACTTGGGCATTCACCCAGCTGCCTCCCTAAGTCTCCGAGCACAGCAGCCTGTTTGGTCGTGGCTTGGGATTCAAGAGTCAGGCTGAGGCCGAGGCTTCCGACGAAGTCCGGGAATGGGCAAAACCTATTCCGCAGACAGAGCACATCGCTCTAAGGCAGGCCTTTGCTACGTAACTCGGCGAGCTAAAGAACAAGCACATCCCCGCTAAAACATACATTGAGAAGAAGCTACATGAGCTATTGGCGGGGGAGTTCCGCGCGGAACAGCTCACCATCAAGAAGGGCGGCTCATGTGCTGCGGCGCCATCCGGACCAGAGCAGCTTCGGCTGCGGCTAACGGTTTTCCAGAACGCCCTCCTGATGATCAAGATAAAGCACCCGGGCAGAGCCGAGCTGTCGGACGTATTCCGAGCGCTACAAAGACTATCTGCTCGGAGATTACTGCTATGGACTCCGGTCCGGTGACGAGTCCGGGTCGCTAATTCCACCGTGGGCCGCTCATCAGCAGCTATGCGCACGCTGTCCGCAAGCATGCTTACAAGCTCATGGCTACGGACGGCCGACCTTTCGGCGAGAGAGACTCCTGAGCGAAGGAGAGGAACTTCATCGGTGTTCACCGCGCTGTCATCTGGCTCCCCACGGCAAGCGCCTCCGCCCGCCTCCTCCTTGCAAGGGGACGGTGGCAGAGGGCGCGGCCGCGGCCGCGGCAACAACCAGCCCAACAAGGGCCGGGGAAAAAGCGAAGTTTGTCCGTGCTCGCTGGCAGTTTGTTCCAGAGATCACTCCTTACTTCTGATGGTGTAGGCTTGCTTTTATAGCCTTTTGCACCTAGTGTGCGGCTCCTCCTTGAGAAAGGGTCGGGAGTATCTGCTAGCACGGGGTTCAGAGTGGGTAGGTGGTGAATCCCCCTTGAGGTCGATCCCTCACCCACTGCTTCAGCCGGTGCGGCGTTCCAACTACACGACAAGTGCAAGTGGAGAAAAGGTGACAAAGAAAAGGAGGTGTAGAGGGAGGTGGTGGTAGTGTACGCATTCGTGACCGTGGTACGACCGTGTATGCTAGCCCATGAGATCATCACATGGAAACATCGGAGGTGTTTCGCTAGGTAAACAGAGAAGGTGTTTACGGCTATATTTGAGGTTTCGGAATGGCGTGACCATTTCAACTAAGGGACCTCCTAACGGGAGGCTATTTTGAAGAGCCCAGGACCTTGGATATTGGCTAGCGAAGAACGCTAAAACCGTCTCCGGGCTAACCGGCCCCGGGTCCGTTGCTAGCGAGTGCAGTTGTGCAATGTTTCCCACATCACCTCGCTAGCACCCTAGTGCCTGGAGGTTTAGCAAGCGAGGTGGAAGGAATTGCAAACAGGCACTTCTGAACTGCACAGCCGCCCTTTTTCTTTCGAAGGGATTATCGAGCATGAGGTTTAGAAGGGAGTGGTGGGAGATCGCTTGGCTACTGTACTAAATCATAACCATAGTCATAAGCAACATATTTCAATAATAATCCGGAAAATAGCATTACCATGAAAACATGTCGAGTAGTAGTGCTAGTAGTGCTAATAGTCCTAATAAGACTTATCGTAGTAATAATAGTAATGCTAGTACTAGTAGGAACAATAGAAATAAGAGCAATAATCGTAGTAATAATTATAATCATAGTAAGAAGTAAGAACAGTAGTAAAAGTAGAAATAGTAATAATAATAACAATGATAGTAATCATAGTAAGCATACAGAAATCATAATCATAGTAACCATAGTGAGTATAGTACTTGTAGTAATCATAGTCGCCATAGTAATCATAGTACTCGTAGTAGTCATAGTAATCATAGAAATCATTGTAAGACTAGTGACAATAAAAATATAAGTAACAATAGTAATGATAGTAAGTCATAATAGTAATAACGGTAATGATAGAAAGTGCAAGTTTTAACAGTAATAAGAACAACAACAGTAATACTAGTAACAATAGTATTAACGGTAATCGTAATCGTAGGATTAACAGTAGTAAACGTAGTGAACGTAGTAATAGTGGTCATCGCATTCATAACAGTCATATTAATCATAGTAATCATATTAATCACAGTAATAATACTCATAACAGCAACTGTATTAATAGTCATAACAATAATAACAGTAATAACAATAACAGTAACAACAATAATAGCAAAAATAGCCATACTAGTAATGCTAGTAATACCAGTAATACTAGTAATACTAGTAATACTAGTAATACTAATAATACTAGTAATACTAGTAATACTAGTAATACTAGCAATACTAGCAATACTAGCAATACTAGCAATACTAGTAATACTAGTAATACTAGTAATACTAGTAAACTAGTAATACTAGTAATACTAGTAATACTAGTAATACTAGTACTACTAGTAGTACTAGTAATACTAGTAATACTGGTAATACTAGTAATACTAGTAATACTAGCAATACTAGCAATACTAGTAATACTAGTAATAATAGTAATACTAGTAATACTAGTAATACTAGTAATACTAGTAATACTAGTAATACTAGTAATACTAGTAATACTAGTAATATTAGTAATACTAGTGTTAAAGGACCGGATAACCCCACATGTAAAGATCCCAGTAGGAGAATGAAGGAGTGTGTGAGTAAACAGAGGAGTGAGTGCTGGATCGTGTATGATGTGCACGCGCGAGTGTGTGTAT